GGCGGGACCCCCCCGCGCCCCTTCCCCCTTCGCTGTGCTGGCACGAAGGCCCTTGGCTGCTGCCTGAGCTGACACCATGCCCTTCCTCTCCCCACCCCAAGCCGTGGGTCCTTCCCCGGCTCGCGACACCTCTGCCACGCGCTATTATGTTCCCAAGTGTCCGGCAGCTTCAGCGGGCGCAGCGGGATCGCTCCCCGGGGAGCCCAGGGCAGTGCTGGGCTGCACCACACGTGTTGTCTGGTGAGCGAGAGGTCAGGCCTGTCTGACACGTGTGGGCAACGTGGGCCTTGTGCCCACAGAGCAGGAGTTAGCGTTCCCCTCCCTCCCCCCCCCCATTCATAGAGGGGGCGGTTGGGTTTGTGTCGGTTGGGTTTGTGGACAAATAACAGATAAATGTGGAGGGGAGTGAAGGTCAGAGGTTCAAAAGGAGCTCGTCAAGCAGGACACCGAGCAGAGCACACCAGAGTGCTCCCGCTGACCCTCTGATGAGTCTGAGGAACCAGTGGACGCTGCCCAGTGAAACTGCCCAGAGATGTGAACGGACAAGGGACAAGAAAACAGTTCCCCCAGCCAGAGCCTCTGGGGAGCAACCAGGCAGCTTCCCATAAACAGTGCTCATTTTTAGTCTGTTCTCCCATCCGCACATTTTGCACACCCTGAGGTTTGGTTTGTCTGGCAACCTGTCACCATAAACGTGATGTTGAGTGTAGCTGTTCGGTTGCAGTTGTAAACCGCTACCCTTAGTCACAGGGGTTTGGGTTGTAGCCGTGTTGGTCTAAGGACATAGGCGGACAAGGTTCCTTGGGTGAATTTGATATCTTTTATTAGACCAACCCAAATGGTTGGAGAATAGTTATTAAGCAAGCTTTCGGGTTCAAAAACCCGTCGTCAGGCTAAGGAAGTTTCAGCAGTTGGTGTGTGCTCTTCCTGGAAGAGGAAGAGCACACACCAACTGCTGAAGCTTCCTTAGCCTGACGAAGGGTTTTTGAACCTGAAAGCTTGCTTAATAACTATTCTCCAACCATTTGGGTTGGTCTAATAAAAGATATCAAATTCACCCAAGGAACCTTGTCTGCCTACCCTTAGTTAGGCTTTCAACTCCATTTGACCTACCTCCCATCCTTTTGGGGTAGGTTTAAAAGTTAGTTTTAAAGAAAAATGAAGATCAGGACCTTTTAAAAAGAATTCCAGTAGAAAATATTTGCTTCAAGTTGTTCCCTCCTGTTGCCAGTACATATGTAAAACTCCCCCTTTCCCTTTATATATGCAAAAAAGCAGTAGAGCTCTTATCATTTCAGTTATAATAATTCAGGGATCAGATTCCTAATGGGGACTCAGTTGGGCTCCACACAAGCATTTGCTCACTCGAAGTCTTATGCAGGCTTGGGGTCTAAATTGTGATAGTGGTATTAGTAATTTTGCACTGCTGAACTGGAAGTTGATACTGACTTGGGAATACATCAGCTGATAACTTCTCACAAAATAGGATGTTGCCTATGAGAGCCTATGCCTCTCTAGAGCAGTTTGTCTTGAAAATGCCACCCTGCCTTACCTTCTGCTGTCATATAGCAAATAACTGCTGTTGGCATCCTGAGACATTTTATAGCAGAAGCTAAAAAATGCTTTTTGCACCTTCAGTCAACCACTTGCACCTTTATGATTCAACATATTGATCAAACTTTATTTCTTCATTTCAATATTTGAGACCATTCCTGTGGGCAAATAAGAAACAACAAGGAGTACAACGGAGTTGCCATAGGCAAATTGTTATGCTAACTGATTACCTGTATTGAACTATGCTATTTGAAAACAGTTCTGTGATTTAATGCAGTGGTACTCAGCCTTGGGCTGCAGGCTGGGGTCAGTGCATGGGTCAGTTCAGCGCAGAGTTGGTGTAATCTGGTGCATAACCCCAGCCTTGCATAGTGTGTTGGGCCTGGTGGGCCCAACCCCAAGCACACTAAATTGGGCCTGCCACCCCAGCCCTGGTGGCAGATGTGCATGCTCTGGATCAGGACCCATTATCCTTGCACCACACATCAGCCTAATCCAGTGCATCGGGCAATGTCACCTGGCCACAAGGCTTGGAAATTTGATGGTGGGGGAGCAGCAGCAGCCTTGATTTCTATTGGTCCCCTGCTACCAGTTTTCCATGTCTGTGTGGAGCCCTGTGAGCCACATGACATGGGTTCCATGGCCTAGAGCTTGAGCACAACTGACAATGCATTTTTGTAAAAATACCATTAATATTGCATCTTATTTTGGATTGCTGT